CATCTCCAGGGGGGGTCCCCAAAGCCTTGCCCCTGTCATGCCCACCCTCCTCCCTAAAGGGGCCGGGGAGCGCTTTGAGGGAGCTTTTAATGGGAAGCTTAAAAGATGCAGCAGCAGCGTTCAGCTGCAGGACTGGGACAGCTTGCGGCTGGGAAATCTTAGCTCCAAGGAGAAATATTTATCTTCAGCTTGGGTTGGTGGGAAGAAGGCTTTCCCTCAAGAGCTTTCAGCTGTCCCCAGCCCTTCTGCGGGGCTCTTTGCTCCTCTGCTTTCCCCTCGAGTGGATGGAAGCCCCTGGCTGCTCTCCGGCCACCGCTGACAGGGCAGCATCCGTTACGGCCCCGCTGTCTCCCACAGGCTTTCGGCATGGATGCGGAGGAGCACAGTGTCATCATGCAGCAGGTCAAGGAACTGGAGGTACGCGGCGAGGCAGAGTCTCCCCGGGATGCTGCACCCAGAGGGTCCCCACATCGGGGTGGTGCTGGGGGGCTCTGGTGCCTCCCAGCCCCCATGCTGGGGCTTGGGGTACGGGGAGCCCCGGGCTGTGCTGCAGGAGCTGCTCAGGAGCTGTTTGCTGGCCTGAGCAACAGCTGATGGTGAAAACCTTCTCGAACCCCATCCTTCCTCGTGGGGTTGGTGACCCCACATTGAGCATTATTTTTTTTCTCTTCCAGAGACTGATTTTTTGCCTAAAAGCAACCGTGAAGGAAGCCCAGGGGATTCTGGGTAAAGATGTCAGTGGTAAGTGGAGACGGGCGGGTGTCCCAGTCGGAGAAGGGACGGCCGCTGCTCCCGCGGGGACTTGCACGCCTCGTCCCTCGCAGGGTTCAGCGACCCGTACTGCCTGCTGGGCATCGATGCCAAGAGCCAGGTCCCTGCTCACCCCGACCACAAGAAGCGGATGAAGGCTGTGGTCAAAGACCTCATCCCCGAAGACCAAATCCATCGCACGCAAGTCATAAGCCAGACCCTCAGCCCGGTGTGGGACGAGACGTTTATCCTGTAATCCGCCGCTCCTTGGCTTTGCTCATTTGTGCCCAGGGCTCTCGGGGGTGCATGGGGGGGGTTCACACCAACCAGGAGCTGGGGCTCTGCCGGGGTGATGCCCGCTGGGGCTGACCAAGCTTCTGGTCTGACCCATGCAGCAGGTCCAGGGAGGTGAAAACTAAAAGCGTGGCAAAAATCCTTCCCTCGGGGCTCTCGTACCACGTCCCCAGGCTGTGCGGGGTGGTTTGGGGTCCCCCCCCCCAGGGAGGAGCCACCTGCCTGCAAGCCCCAGCTGGCC